ATTGACCCCCGTGCAACGTGCAACGCGGCCCGGCACTATTCCGTTCGTGAAATAATGGGCCTGAGCATCGTAACGTGTGATTTAAACGCGCGCAGGATAGACCGAAGAAATCCTCGTGTTGGACCGACGCGTCAATCTATACGTAACGCTATCGATGCAACAGATCGCTCGATTATTTATCAAATAATTATTCACGTAGATGACTACTGATTTTTATGCTACTTTTTGAATGTACTATGTACTTGCATATACATTTTTTTTCATTTGATAAAATTTGAACTTTCAAATTGTAGAAACGTAAAGTAGAATACAAGATTTCATTTCGACAAATTTTTTTAAATAACTGTAAAAGGCACCTTTAAAGTTGCAGACTAAAATTTTTGATTTTCAAAAATCAAATGACGAAATGTGAAATATGCAATTTTGCTGTAACGCCGCGCACGGTAAATGAAAATTACACGAATGGCAGAGTACACGGCCGTGCGTTCGCATTAAAACGATGTATTACGATTGAAGATTTGATTATTGCACATGGCACGGGTAATTACGCCCTGCCTGACGCACGGCTTTATTCGCGGTAAGCAAAATGCAATAAAATATATTATACAATGCGAAGCGGGGGATTTATCCGCGGATTACATTATCCATCACGGTCGGAAGATTAAATCTCCATAAATTATTCGTTATACCAACGATATTCATTAACGGCGCGATTCGAATAGCCGCGAAGTGTTACAACAGTGCGGTAAACGTTACCACACGCGCACCACCTCTCTCTCGAAAGCGGTACTTTTAACGCTAAAATTATATTATCGTGACGATCTCTACAAAGACTTTTTAATCCAATCGTCAAACCGCAGCGCGGTTAAATAATGAAGGAGGATAAATTTTCTTACGTTCGCCGCCGATGAAAACTTCGATTACGATGCCGTTCCACTAATTAAAAGCCGATATCAAAGGTTTATCGTTAGCAAACTGATCGATCAACGCGACAATGATTTTTCTATACGTACATATATCATAATAAGCACACGTTATAATATAATGTTTCTATATCGGTAAAAAAATCGAAACCGCTCTGCGCATTATCGAGGATCATTTACCGAGGATCGAGTACCGGCTCTTGTGGATTTTCTACTTGATTTACAGAGCACCGTGGCGTGTACTAGCGGGAGATAGAGAGAAAGAGAGAAAGAAAGGAAGAGAGGAGAGCAATCGATGATGTCACGCACTTGCGGTTGATAGCCGCACTCTCTCTGCGAGGTGCGCCGGCACGATCGACATCCGAGATTCGGACTTCGTCGCGGCCGGGACTGCGTTGCATCGCGTTTTATAGCGCGTTTTACTGCGTGTGCTGTGGCTGACCAGTGGTCTCTCTCTTTCTGCCCCTCTCTCTCTCTCTCTCTCTCTCTCTCTCTCTCTCTCTCTCTCCCCCCTC